ACCTGCAACAATCACTGTAATACATATATAGTTGCACTGAACAAGCAATATAATTGACATTTCGTTCTGCTTCTGAATATTGAGTAAATGTGAGATCCTTATCCAAAGAACCAGTTTGATACAATTTTCCTGTGCTTAATCTCATTCAGAGGAAATAGGCCCTTTCCTCCTTGTTCCTGCTTTACTGATCCTTAGCTGTGCAAACCAGCTTGAAAGACTTTCCCAAATTCAAAGTTGGGACTGAGCTGCCCTAAATAAACCTCGTGAAAGGTGCTTAAGCCTGTGAATGAAAAGATAAGTCACTGGTTACCTAGTGAAATTGGACTACTGCAATCTGAGCTATTACAGGCCTTGTGTGAGAATGTCAACACAGGTTAGTAAAGAGTTCAGACAGCTACTTAGAAAAAAACCTCCTAGAGCCATAGTCTTAGATTGACGAGGTATGTTAGGTGCTAAAGACCAGGCTTGCTGAAGAATTCTCTAAATTCTGAAGTACTTCAGCTGTAGGGATTAGATGTCTTGATTTCAGCTCACCCTCAGAGGTGTGCACACTTCCTGCAAGGACCTGTGAATAGCATCCATTCTCTAGCTAACAGTTGGGCAAATCTTCATGCATTTGCCCTTATAGGAGACATAACTTTAGTAATTCCCTACAAGATCAATATTTTTAGGAGCAAAAATTGAATGTAGTTCTGTTAGTCAAGCAGAATGTTTGGAGTGATCCCAGTGGATAATGTAAACTTAGTTGGAAGCTACTCGTGTGAAAGAGCAAGGATTAACAAAGTTAAGGGGAGAATATAAAAATCTTCTTACTACTCAGTTTATGTGCTGTTGTCCCAAATCTGGGTTCTTTGCCCTGTGTGCAGTAAGCTGATCCAGAGAGTTGAGGTACTTGTTTATTGCCTGTCTGGGCAGAGGTGGGTGCCAGGTGGTAACTCCGAAGAGCTAGCACACCTTTTGAGAAATAAGCCAGTCTTGCATACCAACTAATTACAAAGGAGAAACCACCACAGTCAATGATGAGTCAGTCATGCCTTACTCCTGTCTTCATCAATGTAAGCGGAAATTTGCCATTCTCTTATTTTGAGACTCCGATTGTCTTTGTTGGAGAGCAGTTTGGTGCTATGGGGTCTGACCTGAGGACAAGCTTCCGCCCCTGGGGCCATTCCCTCCTGTTCCCCAACTATACAAGCCTGCCTGGTTTTGAAACCCTGAGTGTGTGACTGTTAACCCTTTTCTTTCGACAACACTATCTCATTAAATTTTTGTAATGCCTGCGAGTTCTGTTTTTCCCCTTGCTAGGATTGCTGGCTTTATTCCCTTTCCTCCAATAAAAATGCAGGTTCTTAGCTCTGAAGAACCTGGCTCTGATAAGAATACACTTGTTGAGGAGTTCGCTTTCTCCTCTTGCCTCTTCAGGAAAAAATATATCTCCTGTTTATAGCAAAAGTTAAATCATGGTGTATAGGGACTTCAGGTACAAAAATCTTGATCCTATCTTTATTTTGAGAAAGGTGGACTTGAAAACCTTTGCTAGAGTTGCAGACAAACCATTTAAAAATTTCGCAGGCTCTCTTACATTTGAGGGATTCACCATACCATAAGAAAAACCATTTCTTGAGTGTTACTGGAATCATTTCAGGTGGTGTTTGGTTGTGAGAGTGTTTCCCCTTCTGACTTTTGAAATCCCTCAAAGGGAAGGGGAAGAACATTTGAAGCTTATGTTACTAATTTAAACCTTAATGACGTTTTCTGGATTACTGAGTAAACCAATGTGCTTTTCCAACACGAAGCTTTTTGTTTTAAGCTTCACTTCCTGATTTTTACCTTAAACTAACAATGGGTAGAACTTAAAACTTTTTTTTTTTTTAGGAGCACAAGCCTTAGAAAGGAAACTGTTTCACATACTGAGTGTTCCTGCATTTCTCTTAGCTCTTCAGTTATGTCGTATCACCTGAATAATTCTCTTGGTGCCTTCTAGTCCTAACCAGGTGTTGTGCTGAGCAGAATGAAATTTATAGGCTTGAACTGTCTTCTAGTTTCGACTGAAAATACTGATAAAAATATAATTCTTGTGCTTAACCAGTGTCTCTTATTTCAGGGGGAAGATTCCTGTAACGTGATAACTTACAAGTAACAGTTCCTTATCATGGCTGAACTGTCAGCTGAAGAAATTCAGCTGAGGGCCAACCAGGTCACTGATGAGGTAAATATTATAGGAAGCCACCTGGGATTACATACTTATCTGTCAAGATTACACTGTCTTTTAACAATAAAGACAGTCTAGGGTAGTGATTCTGCAAGGGTATAGCTGAATGTTTCAACTTCTTACTTTACTTGGTAAATAATAGAAGTGAAAACTACATAAAAGTAGAAATTAATTTAAACTTCTGAATTGTAAAGCTGTTTGACTGAGTAGTGGTCACCCAGTTCTTGTTACTGAGACAATGCAGGCTGTGGACCTACACTGTTCTTAATTATGTTGATATTTCATGACATTTTTTGTTGAACTAAAAGTTATTTGAATAATAATGACTTTCCAGTGGGACAAGCAAAGTACTAGCAAGTACTAAAAGCTAAGGCTTTACTAGCTACTGAAAAAAACTAGCGTGCTGCCACTGTGACTGTGTTGTGGCATCTATTACTTATAGACAGGCCGATGAACCTTCTTATACTAGTTGGCTTACCGATAACAAAGACTTTCAGACACTCATATATACTGTTAATGCACTCATTTTAAAATTCTCATTCTAGTCTTTGGAAAGCACAAGGAGGATTCTTGGTTTGGCCATTGAGGTAAGGAAAAACTTCTGACTTCTCTGGGGATTTATTAGTTGAAGAAGCAGCATCTTAACTGTCACAAAGTCATCTTAATCACTTTTCTTGTCTTTCTCAAACTTTTGCTGAGAACAGCACATCATTATTAGATGTTGCTGCTTTAATTCAGTAGTAGAGTTTGAATGACTTTACATAATGTGAAAAACGTTAGTTCTAAGTCAGATCACAGGGGGATTAAAGTCCTCTTTTCCTGTTTTCCTATTAAGCAAAATGGCCTAATGTCCAAATGCTACAGATGAGTTATAAGAAGTCTTATGTGATGGTCAGTTATGGGTTTGGTTGCTGTGTCATGTGCTTCTTGTAACACTTACCATTTGTATTTTAGCCCACTTTGCCTGCAAACAGTGTGAAAATGTCTTGCTTTGAAGAGGAGGTTAGGGTGGGGTAGTAGAGGGTAGGGCTGCTTTTGCTTGTAAACAAAAGTAATTCTACTTACACCTTCTTACAGTCTGCTCATCAGTTTTAACTTTAAACATAGTTAACTATGATGAAACTCTTCACACCCTTGTATGTGACTTGAAACAGATAAATCTGTATTTCGGGTTTATCTAGGTGACATTGTGAGGAATCTGTTCCTCCACACTATTAGGGCTTGCATGCCCCATTGTAAAACTGACTGTAAGATTACTTTTGTTCTGTAATTTCAAAAAATACAGAGCATCCTGTTGCTAGAGAGTGAGATAAGATGGCTGATAATCAGCTCTGGTAGACTTAATAGAGCTCAACTGGTTCAGCAAGACAATTTTCTGTACTTGAATATGCCACAGACAAGCAGGAATCCAGAGGCTAAGCAGTAATGCCTTTGAAAGCTCATCCCCAGACTTTTAGTGCTGAAGACTGGAGTCAGTTTATTGTCACTGTGAGAGGACTGAAAAATAATCCAGAGAATAAGGACCCCAAGTGTTTGACTACTGCTTTAGAGCCTGTAGTCACTGTCGAGACAGTAGCAGGTGGCTGTGGAACTGAAGATGCTACTATTATCAGTGAGGCATTAGAATCTGCATAGCCTCATGAATACCTCTCAAACACAAATGTTAAGAATATGTAATGAGCCTACATAACTTCTCTTGGTATCACAATTTGGTGACTCATAGAAGATTAAGTAACCCCTACCGCAGAGAGTTCTATGCTGTTTAGTTTGCAATCAGAGCACGGGTGCAACTTGTGTGCTGGATTCAAGACTTTGAGCCAACAAAGAGCTGTACTGTGGTATATTCTTCACTGCTCATTTCTTTTGCTTGGTTCTAAAACTAGTGATGGGCTGTGCTTCTCCTGATTTCTTCTGTTGAATTCTCAAGGATGGTTTTGCAGGCTTTTTGCTTTCTTTTATATTGGCTTCCAGGACTTGTCAGCCACATTGAAAGGTGTGGGGATAAAGAATGAACTAAGTACCAGTTTTCGAAACAAGGCACAGCTAGGATTACCTCTTTAGCTTGACATTGTAATACTCAGATTGAACTATGACAATAACATCTTGTTGTAATGTTAAAAAACACACTCACAAAAATCCCACCGAGATGGTGTAACAGGTGAGTTATCAGCCTAACACAGCATCTAATTTGAACCTTTGCGTAGCTTTACTACAGAAGTTATTCCTAGCACAGTGGTTTATTATGAACTTGGCTGGCTTATCAAATGTACGGGTTGATTCTGCACTGCTGTATTGAAATCTGGTTTTATATCTGCAAATAATTTTTTCTGCAGTCCCAGCATGTTGGCATCAAAACTATCACCATGCTGGATGAACAAGGAGGTGAGTTCTTTCTTCCTCTAACACTAAAAATCAGTGTTATGCCTAAGAAAAAGGATTATCATTCAGGGGTTGTTAAGAAAATGAAGACTACTTATGTGAAAATGAGATTTGCTAATTGGTTATTCCCATGTGTTTGTAGCATTTAAATAGAGGTAGTGTTTACACAGAGGTTTTAAAGTAGTTGAGAGATGTTGTTAGTTACCGCATAATACAGCTCTGCTACAGAAGCTGTTCCTTTCCACCATATCACAAATGGCAGCATTTTATTCTAAAAGCAGCAAAAGAAATGCTGTCCTAAGGATAAGGACAGTATTCTTAGTACAGTAAACAAGACCTATCACTTAATATCTTTCTTGAAAATAAAAAAAAAAAAAGCCCAGAAGGCAGGAAAGGCAGCAGGCATTAGTTTTTGGTATAAAGAAGGAACTGAAATTTGTAAGTTCCTGCTTGAAAGAAATGTTAATGTCCTGCTCCCACCTTCTGCCAATCCATGTTTATTCAGGTTACTTGTTTCTGTTCTAGAACAACTAAATCGCATAGAAGAAGGCATGGACCAGATAAATAAGGATATGAGAGAAGCTGAGAAGACAATGACAGAGCTCAGCAAATGTTGTGGGCTCTGTGTCTGTCCCTGTAACAGGTCAGTTAAATTGGTATCTGGGTCTGAAGTGCTAGAATATTCCCAACAGCTACTGTACTGGGAGAATGTCTCTAATAAGAGCTAATTAAAAAATGCTTTCTCTCTAGGAAAGGTGACTGTTTTGGTTTGTAGAGGTGCACCCTTTTAAAACTGTATGAGAGTAGCTAAAGCTTACTTACATCTAACCATGCATTGTATCCCTTTTAGTGGAAATATAGCTGCTGTATGACATCCTGCACAACTGTGCTCTAACCGCCTTAAAGCTTACATTTAGTAGAATACTGTCAGTGTCCATGAGACCAAATTGGACTGCAAAGATAGCTATATGTAAATGCCTGTCAGTTTGAAATTTGACTCCAAAAGTGGGTGGGTGGGTGGGTTGGTTGGTTGGTTTTTCACAAAGGTACTTTTGTACTAAATTAAAAACCAGACAAATTGTTTTGGAGAAGGAGAGTAATGTTTGTTCTCTAGGGAATTAAATGTTCATGCTTTAGGCAGGAAGAGAGTAGGAGGACAGATGTTGGTGTTAATCTTTCACTAGAGACTACATAAATTTTTGCAGACCTGCTTCACAGTACCTTTATAGCATCAGTGTTATGGCTACCATATCCAAGTTAGTTAACTAATCTTTTGTACGGCCCTTGATTTGTACCTCTTAACACCTGAACAATGATCTGAAATTATAATGATAAGGAGAAAAAAATATATTTTTTGGAGGTGTGCAGTGAAGTAACAACTTGATTTGTGTGAATTGGATGTGATCATAGCTCTTGCAAGTGAAGGAGAGAAATTGTGACCACTGAAGACAATTTATGTATTTGCTCATTTTTAGCTCTTAAGCATGAGCAAAAAATCTTGCAAATCAACTGAGAGGTAGCAGAAATTAAGGTAAAAAAATTCCTTGGAGTAGCTGAGTCTGCTTATCCAACGGAGTAATACTTTGAGGATCATTTAGGATAGATATGAATATTTTAAAGCTGAAGGTCTTAGAGCTTTAAGTACAGGTTTTAAGGCTGAAGGTCTTAGAGCTTTAAGTACCTTCAAAAGGTAGATAGTTCTGTCCTGACCCCTGCATAGGTGTGCTTACTGCTTTGTATTAGTTTTATCAAGCTGATGGACTTTGAACATTTTGATACAGTCAGTCTTTTGTTTTCTGTAGTTGACAGTCTTACTTCACTGCAGTTATTGACACTGAGCAAGATAGGAATTTATCAGTTCTTGTGGCACGCCAAATACACAGATAACAAGGAGAGAGATAATGAGTTATGTACCAAAATGGGCAGTAATGTGCAGTAAAATCTACTAGATAAGTAGAGGGCAATGAAGAAGAAACTGAGTGCCTTTCATATATCTACTGGTACATCAATCTTTCTGTCAGTTTTTTGTCAACCACTTATATCCAAAGCTTTTAATTTTTTGCATAAAGCTAAAATTGGAACACTTACGGAATTAAGTTCTCATTTTTCTTAGGTTTAGACTATTTATAAAAGCTTTGTGAAAACACCTCTTAGGTTTAGAGGTTTTAGCTTTTATTTATAAAAGCTTTGTGAAAACACAAAATATAGGCAGTACACTAATATAATCTATGTACTACTAATAATAATTTACCTGTTTGCCGGTCTTTACTATTCTTTCTTCTTTATTTTCTCCTAACACTGATGCTTGCTTTCTAAAAATGAAGACTAGGATATGAAGCTGTATTCACTTAACTGGTGAAAGTGGATTTTAGGACAAGGTCAGTCTTAATAGTGCAGATGCACATTTAACCAGCTGTCTGAAGTGATGCTTCTGTTGGGTTTGTGCTTGCACGTGCATGATGTCTGCATGCATGCATCCTTGTGACTGTGATGTATTGTAATAGTGATGTGAATAGAAAATGTAAATTACTATAGGGTGCATTAGTTCTGGAAATGTCGAACTGCCTGAGCCCTTGCTGGTGTGACAGGTTGTATAAATTGCCTTACTCTTACAGAAATGAAACAGGGGAAAAGTGAATGTATAGTCATTTGAAAAACAGCTCTTTAAAAAAAATCAGGTGGTGAGAAGCTTAGTTTGAGAACAACTTTGTTTATAGCTGTCTGCCTAAGTTTTCAGGCCACTTGTTCACTAGATTCATCAGTTACCTCTGGCACCTGACTTTGCTAATCCAGAAGACAAGCATACAAAGCTCTCCTGCTGTGAATGAGCTTTTCACCTGTTCTCCTGCTTGCGCTGTGTATGCACAAGGAGCTAGAGTTGATCAGTTCAGGTTTCTTTAGGGTTCTGCTGCGTGCAACAGTTCCACTATGAACTGAGAAATTCTATTTCTTCATCTTGAGGTACTCATGCTAGATTACCTTTCATAGCATCTGCCCTATGAAATACAATTTTCCCTTTTGGTTCCATAAACTCCTGAAGAGTGAGGGGAATATTTCTTCATTACAAGTAATTTCACACTTCAGATTTGAAACATCTGGGCTACTGAAAGGCACTACAGATATAGAAATTGATTTTTCCCTGTAATTGTGAAGTTACGTGTACTGAAAGACACTACAGACTTCCCTTCACAGGCTTTTAAACAAGCAGAACAGTGGCACTGGAGTCTAACTTCACACCAGCTTTTAAACTAAAGGTTTAGGGGTCATGAGAACTGACCCAATTTAGATCAGTTATTTTTCTGTTATATTTTCTTCCCCTCTTACTTTTATGGGTCTGTGATTCTTGAGATTGCTTCGTGTCAGTGTGCTTTAATTTTTTTTTCTCTCCTGAATTGTGTGGTTGGTTTGTCTGTTTAATGGAGTTACTACAGTTGAATTGCAGAATGAAGGAGCTACTTAAACACGATTACTGTTATTTCATAATTAAAATTAACCTGAGAAACATTACCTTTTTTTTTTTTTAACAGACCTGGCAGCAGAAAATGTTCACTAAACCAGTAGAGATTAGTGGGTTTTTTGCATAGTGTAGCTATTTGTATTTGAGGGATTTTTTTTTTCCTTCATCCCCATTTTTTTTTTTTCTGAAAAGTAACTAATCCTGAGTGCGGACTAACTCCTGTTGTAAGTGCAGCTTTATCTTACGACAGTGCAACCCTTCCTGTGACCTGTCGTAAGCTTCCTCTTTTCTGGTAGAGTGTATTACTTTAAGGAAATTACTGTACTTGTACTAAAGCATAAGACCAAATTAATCCCTGTTCCTAGAGTAACTCAGTTACATTTGTACTATCGCGATACAAGAAATACTATTGTATAGACAAGGCATTGTCTGTACCAAATCTAATCTACCAGGCACAAGACAAATATTTTTGAAAATCCTAGATTAATACAGGACTTCAATCAAGAAGCCATATTTCTGATGTAGCAGTTCAGACTTCTTCTCTTTATGGAGCAGGACAAAGAACTTTGAGGCTAGCAAGGCATACAGAGCAACGTGGGGAGATGGAACGGAGAACTCTGCAGATCATGTGATAACCATGCCACCAAGAAGTATAAATCAGCAGCAACCTCAGAATTACGGAGGACCAAGTGGAGGATATATTACAAGGTTTGCTTTTCATATATCTCAGTCTTAAATGCAGAAATCCTAAGTGACTAGTTGTCAGCTGCTTTCAGGTGCATTTTAGGTGAAGTTGCTAAGTAGTAGGGTTTTTTAATGCTGCTTGGAGGAATTATTAGTGCTTGGAAAAGGAGATGACAGACACCTACACTTTCAGTATGGTATGCTCATCTTATACTTTGGTTTGGTTTTTTTTCCTAGTGGTGGTATTATCAGTGTTTCTAGGTGTGAGGACTATAGAACTTTAGTGCTCAGCTATTGAGGGGACTGTTAAAAATGACAAGGATTTCTTGTCATGAAGTATATTTGAGACAAACTCATGTATTAAACTTCCTTTGATAGCTGTTATTGTAACTTCTAAAGCTATAATAGCTGTAATATTATACATATTACAGCTGTAAAGGCAGGTAGCTTAGCACCTCTTTTTGGGCTGCTTGCTTGGAGTACATGGGGGTTTAAAAAGGCGAAAACATACCTTGGCACTAATACATTGCCTGTCAGATAACTGTGCAACAAAGTATTTCTATTAAAGTAAATCTGGGGTAGGGAAAAGCAAGTTCTTGATTCTTGGAAATATTGTCTTAATTATTTGAACAGGATAACAAATGATGCCAGAGAAGATGAAATGGATGAAAACCTTGCTCAAGTGGGAAACATTCTTGGAAACCTAAAAAACATGGCTTTGGATATGGGCAATGAGATTGATACCCAGAATAAACAAATAGACCGAATAAACGTGAAGGTAAGTGTCAAAGCTGTTCTCTGCCATCAGCGGTTGTTACTGAGAAATTACAAGGGATGGGCTCCCTGCCCCATCTGCCTGTGTGTGCAGTAAATATGCATTAAGGCTATACCATCCTCTAGGTTGCAGTGATTTGAACGAGAGAGATAACCTTGGTGCTTGCGTGTGTAGCTGACAATTCAAATGCTTCAGAGTGCCAGGAAACCTAAAAATACAGCACAGGTCACTGCTTACTCAGAAAACAGCTCAATTTGCTTGGATCAGAAGGGCAGACACTTACTGGAGGTGTAACTGGGAGATTGTTCCTTGTAGGGCACTTTGTATGTGGTAGGGAATAGGGATTTTAAACAATAGCAAGATTTTTGTGGAGTTCTTAAAAAGCCACTATAATCATTGAATGTGAAGTAAACCAGGTAATTCGTGGCCCTAATTCTCATGGGCAGGTTAATATTGGGGATGGGGAGACTTTGAGGAAAAAAGGTTTTATAGGTGCACAGGGACAGTTCTGACCTCATCTGCACATGAAGTTAGTCGTAGCCAGCCTCATCACTTCTTATTATTAATTTTATTGTTTTAAAGATTAACTTCCCAAAATGCAAGTCAGATATAAATATAGGGGGGAGGATCAGAGGTAAACCTATGAGGAAGTTAGGCATATTTTAGAAATCCCCATGTTCTGAAATTAGAAGTTTTTACAGATATCTTGGTTAAGAAAGGAAATGAAAGCTTTAATGAATAGTATATATTAAAGATTTTAAAAAGCAGAAGAGAACACCAATAGCTGTCAAGTAATAGAAATGAGACAAAATGGGAAATTAAAGATACTACTGAAATGCCCAGTAGGGTTAAAAGCAAGAGGAAGGGAATTTTCTCAAACATACAGAGTTACACAAATGATGGTTTTATCTGTCAGCATCTCATTGTTTTTTTTCTAGTAATTTAGGTGTTCTGGTATGAATAAGGCCAATCAAGATGATTTATGGTAGATATATTAATTGTCTTTCATCATTCCCAGAAACTACAGATCTTAGGTGATTATGAAATAAAAAAGAAGTCAAACCTTTTCAAGAACATTAGAAAGTTTAACTGGAGTTTAAAATGAGGTGTGAAATTCTTCAGGCTTATAAAGTGGACTGAAAATTGCTTGGCCAAATTAACTGCAAGTGGAAATTATTGTTTCTAGCAGTAGTGTGTCCAGTAGTTTCAAGTACCTGTTTTGGCCTGATGCTCTTTCATTTCAGTGGTTTGAATAAATATTGCTGATCAATTCTTTCTATAGTTTTCCTGACTTGCTGAGGCAACCTGTTCTATGTTTTGAGGGTCAGATAAAGACTAAGAGCTGTTTCTCCTGCATCTGTTTCTGCTGAAATTGACAGCATATGCTGGCAGGAGGGGGGTGTGTGTGATTTCTTCTAGCCTCTAAAAGTTGCTCCCCTTCTGTCTACCACCATGAAAATACACTGCAATTCAGAATTTCATGTCAGTTTAAATTTTTAAGCTGTTTTGCATGTAGTCTGGAAATGACCTACAAATTTGTCTTTCAGGCTGATGTGAACAGGGAGCGCATTGAGCAAGCCAACGTCAGAGCCAAGAAACTAATTGACAATTAAAGCCTGCTATCATTGTTGAATGACAGTGTCTCTCCAGCTGCAAGCCACCATATTCATGGATCTGTGAAACTTCTACTATTCTGAAATAAGAGGGGCTGGCAAAAATGAAGCAGTACCCTTTCTATAAGGATTGATTTTTCTTTCTTTTTTCTTATTGCTTCATGAAAACATGGCCTTGACACCAAGAAAGCAGCCAAGATAACTTCCTACTAGTCTGCCTTCACTTTCTCTAAACTGCTCAGGGCTAAAAATGTTACAGCTTTGAGAACCTTCTTGCAGGCTTTATTCCCCTTCCCAGTCTCTTTCTGTTTTTCCTGCACCCCAAATACAGTCCTTCATTGAAGTTGAGCAGGCAGGGTAACCTGAATTCACAGTTGTGTGAAGTTGGAGAGGGCACTTTGCACTGTTTGAAATACCTCATATGTTGAGTGTCTTCACTAAAACAGGGACTTGGTAAGTATTGTCTGACTTGTGTCTCTAGCAGGCTAACCGTAGTTTTACAAGCCAAGCCACGTGATTGGCTTGGGGTTGAGTTTGTGGATTACAGAATTGAAGAGGCCCACTACTTACTACTTACGGGTTGAGGGCTTTAAAACACTTCTTAACCACAGAAATTTTGATATCAAGAAAACTGGAGGGATATACATACAGGTTTCCATTTCTTCACTGTAAATTGACTTTGGTTTGGAGGTCATGACTAGGAAGTCATTGTTCTGATAATATTTGTGTGTATCTACCTGATCTAAACCCCATGCACATGTGAGTAGAAGAAAATAATCTCCCTAAAGTATTTATTTGATGGCAACTTTCACGCCCCTCATCTAAAAGTTAATGTTTAATGATGCATCTGAAACTGGAAGTAACTGAGTAGAAAAGCATGCAGCGCTCTTGCGTCCTGTACCAGATGGTTTGGGCCAGTTTTCTCTGGAGTTCAGTTTATGCCTTTCTCCAGTGCAAAATTATGACTGAGGCAGACTGTGCTCTCATCAGTGACTTTGGGGCAGCTTCTTAAACCTCCTGAAAACAGAGAAGCTTATTATGAAACTTCTTTGTCACAAGCCTGGAGGAAGCAGACCTTTTTAAGGACTGTATGCTAGTTTTTAATAAACTAGTTCCAAATATATTCCTGGCTAGTTTATTATTGCAGACTTTAGGACTGGCAGTTGGGAAGATGGCATGTGCAAGTCGCTTGCGACTACAATATTCCTGTTCGGTTGCAGAATAAAGGAGTTTCTGGTTAGGTGAGGTTAAAGTGCTAAAAGTTTTAGATTTTGCTGTAATGTAATCAGATTTATTCCCAGGATTTTCTCAAATTCTTTTTGGCAAATAAATTGCAGGTAACCTGTGTAACTTTAGCCACCCAGCTGTATACTGTGCCTGTTTCAAAGGTGAAAACAATGCTTTGGACTAACCTGGGATACTCTGTGTTGGATGGCAAGTATCTTCAAACCAAATCAGTTGGAGGAATAATTAAAACTAATAGCATTACGGAGTGGTTTTTTGGAAGGACAGTCCACAAGTATCCTGTAGCGATTAATAATGAAACCCAGGGCTAGAGGCATGACACTAATCTGACATGTAAGACAGCGTAAAGTGTTCTAGTTTTCTTTTTAGTAGAAATAGTCAGTATTACTGATATATTCTCAGTTCACTCCCAGGATAACTTGGTATTTAAAGAAACACCCCTCCCCACCCTCCCAAAAAAAAACACCAATAAAAACCAAAAAAAAACCCCACACCAAAGGATGGAGCTGCTGCATGTAAATAGGCCAGTGGTAGAGCGTCTTACATGAATAGGGTGAAGTCACTTTTAGGGGACTGGATACTTCAGTAGTGTGTGTTTTGGCTTCTGTCCAGCAATTACTGGAGGCAAGAAAGCTAATTAATTTCAAAACTTCATTTACAAATGGGGTAGATAATGAAGATTGTGCTTAAAAACACAGGTAGCAAAGAAGTAAGATCATCACATAGTAAATTTCTAACAACCCCTTGCTTGGGAAGGCGTAACGGGTGTGTATGCTATTTTCCTTCTTGGAAACTTCAGGTTAACCAAAGGAATGTTTGCTGCTGGTTGTGAAAACAAAATACACGTTATTTCATGGTGGTTGTCTCCTGGAACAGAAGACTAAAGTGGTTGGTTACCTTATTCTGCTTGCAACAGTGCAAACCTGCTCTGTAGCATCTGGACATTCCAAACACTGGAATGTGTTTCTGCCTTGTAATAGCAAGTCCATGTTCTTGACTTCCCTGAGTTCTAACAACACATCAGCATGGTGGCTGAGAGAATGCTGTGAGTGGCGTTATCAGAATTGTAGTACTGCAGTGGATGCCACCCAAGGAAATAATTCTCGTGTCTCTAAGCTTGAGTATTAGTGGAATATCAACATTATTTTCTGATGCAGCAAGAGCCCAATCCACGAGGGAATGAATGCATTTATGTTAGTGAACAGCAGACGCTGCTGCTTGGATTGTCTTACTGTTGTCTGTAGAATAGATGCTTCTTTTCCACCTCTGTGGGATGGAATCAACACTTGTACATCTTTGTATTTCTGAATGCTGTTAAGAATGAAGGTTTACAGTTTCCGCTGTTGATTGTTAAACTATATGTTGTGCACAAAAAATACACACTTTGAATGTGTTTTAAAACTGTTTTCTCTTGGAAAGGTCTTTGAGTTTCCTGTCCTTGAAAAACTTGGCAGAACTAGTTGCTGCTGTGGGACTGGGAAGTTCCCCTTCTGTTTTTATTTAGCAGAAATCCTAATGCTAACAAAGGAATGGGTGTGGCTGGGAAGAGAGGAATAGTGAGATCTTTTTGGTTTTTAACACTCTAGCTTCTGTCCCTGCATAATCAACATCACTTAACTTCACACCGTGAAATGTATCCATCTCTTCTTTGGAAGACTGGTTTGACATGGGAGCGCACTTCCGAATGATGAGGGAACTAAGTAAACTGAAAACTTTCCATTCGAGCATCGGTAACAGATGCCGAGCAAATGCATCGTCTAGTTGTCTGCTGCCCATGCAGTTTCGCTTATGAGGCGATTTAAATTGTATCTTCTCTGATACTGGAGCCTCAGATTCCCAGAATGCTATTTGGGGGGTGGGGAGGAGGCGAGGGAAGATGCAGATGTGTTGACTTGCAGCAGTTTTGAGCTGCAAGGGAGAACAGCGTTATCTGGGGACAGCTTGGAAGAAGTACTTCCCATAAAGCACACTTCTACCAGTAAGTCACTGGGGGGTAAAAAGAAAAACCAACCACTGGCACATGTAACTATTCTGAACACACAGCTCCTGCCCCTGCTTAAATGATGGTAATTGGTAAATTCAAGCTAGCCTACTCCTTGATGAAATGTGAATTCAGCCCCTTACCACCGGGGTAGCTACAGCATGACCTTGTGCAGCAACTTGCAGAGCTTTCCTCCTTGAAGGCTGTAGGGTGAAAGAGTTTGCTGTTGACACAGTGCAGGCACTCGCAGTTGCTAATTCACCTTTGCCACGCTAGCCAAATGCGGATTGAAGGGATGGATGAGAAGTGTGCCTTGCTGCAGCGGAAGACTGGAGAGCAAGCGATACAGGTCAGAAACAAAACGTGAATGGTTTATATTGTTAACTGGGGTAACACGTTTTCTACCCTAACTCCAAAACGAAAAAGCTGCAAGTGTAACTGTGCATGGAAATAGGATTGTTTTATAGCACCTCTTGTAGAGTGGGGGTGGTGAGAAGCGTAAAACTGAGAAACTCCCAAAACAAAACTAGGTTACATATGGTGCTCGATGTACAGAATGATGTTCTACTAAGTGACTTGGTCACAGTTACCTATTGCTGTGAGCTGGAACACGTGAGGGTATTGGCCAGCTTTCGTCTTGAAACAGAAATAGTCTTCCTCTGTTGTGGAACAGATTTGGTTAATGCAGGACTAACTCAGTGCCGTGCAGTGTTTTCGCTTTTTGCTTTATGAAACTTTTGATAGCTGTCCTAACTCCAAGGTGCCAAAGGAGCGTAGCGATTACTAACTGAAAGGTTTCTACGTGTGCTAGTGATCACATAACTGTAGACTTCTCAAATACTCCCAATACTTCCACACTACTTGTACGAAGCTGAATAGATTTCTGACTCTATAGGGCCTGGTGTGATGGCAACATCCAGGTTGTGTTCTTAAAGCACCTCCCTAGTCAAATCTTGGAAAAAACAAAGTAGCCTTGTAAAAGTTGTCTCTGTCTACTACTTCCTACAGGAAGCTAGTAGTTCTTCCATAAAAACTAATGTGTGGAATGGGGGTTATTAGTAAAAGTGGTTCCCTTTTTAAGGATGGATCACATACATCCTTTGAATAAGGAGACAATGTTCCCTAAAACATACTTCTAATAGGTATTTCTAGGTAAGAATTCAAATTAGACAGCAGTGAGGTCAGGGAACTAGACACCTGTGCACCTTATAAAAGAAACCCTTAACGCTAATCTTAATTATGCCGAGGAAAAAGATTAACACAAAGATCACTTCATTTTTCTTAACTGTGGGTGGCATAAGATGTTGCATACATGTAATGATTACATCAGCAACATCAAGGAGCTTCCTGGCTCACGCAGGAAAGCGTAAGTGTAGAACAGTAGGTAATGCAGGACAGTCTCATTAAGAATAGACGCATCCATACTTATCCTGCCAAGAAATCACAGAATGGTTTGGGTGGGAAGGGACCTTACAGGCCATCTAGTTCCAGCCCCCCTGCCATGGGCAGGGACACCTTCCCCTAGACCAGGTTGCTCCAAGCCTCATCCAGCCTGGCCTTGAACACTTCCAGGGATGGGGCATCCACAGCTTCTCTGGGCAACCTGTTCCAGTGCTTCACCACCCTCTCTGTGAAGAATTTCTTCTTAAACTTCTTTCTCAGTGAAGTTTTACTTAGTACTTACTGTTTTGAGTGTGCAGAATTGCTACCAAAGTGCTGACTCCTCTGCGCTTTCAGGGCAGTTGAAGTACAGCTGTTACGAACAACTGATGGAACCCAGTACCTAAGTGATGGCTTTCAGGGATAGCCTAGTGCTACTTGTTAAAGTGACAACAGCAGCGGTTACACCAAATGAACTGATTTTTTGAAAGTTATTTACTAAAATAAACAAGTACATTTTCCTTTCAGTATAAGTTACAGAATTGCATAAGTTTTTAGCTCTTTCTAGATGCTTTTGGTAAGAAGGCAGCAGCAGCAGGCTGACAACTACAACTTCTGGCATCACTCTGTATACAAGGAGTCAGTGCAAGGTGGTTATATTTTCCAGCAATACATGTTTTTAGTGAATATATTGAAGGTGAACCTCATTTTTATTTGATAGTGCTCAAGCAGAAGTGGACTGTAGTGCAATTCAAAAAAAGAAAGCCTGTACAATAAAATATGAATGAAGGATGCTCAAACCAGGATTTGTTCACTGGAAGCAGTTGATAAACTTCGCCACAACTATTTGTGCTTCATAAAAAACAAACAAACAACTTACAAAGGTTATAACCTAAAACCTCATTTGTAGAAGTTCCCTGTACAGTAGTGCTTACTGCAAGACATACAGTGTTTCACATCTGCTTTGGTGGTAGAACTTCCATGTGCTATCATGGAAAAATGTTTCCAGGAGGAATAATCGCCTTACAGCACAACAGCCAACTTCCTGACAAAAGGGAACTGACAACTTTGAAACGCTCATTCCCTTTCTCTGTTAAAGAACAAGCCCTGACAAAGGAGAACAGGTATTGCCTTAAAAGCTACAGTAGCACAAAAATCAAAACTGGCCCCTGAGCAGGTTCATCAGTTCAGTACCCATGTTCTCTACTTCAAGTTTATTCAGCGTGGCCTTAACAAACCGTATCGGTCTACTAGAGGAGGAGTACTCTGATCATCTTCAGTCTTGGTTTAAGTCAGTGAAGCAGGTGCTCCAATCACTAACCCTTCTTACTGGAATACACAGGGTCAGAATAACGATCATGCAAATTTCTTCTTTGTAGCTGTAAATCGTTCCATGTACTACAAAGAAAACAACAGAAAAACAAGTCTGAGATTCAGAAATTAATATGACATTCACTCTTGAAAGCAACTAAAGTTCTGCTCTCCAACTCAAAAGCGCTCTGCATCCAAAGCACATTTGCATTTTCCAGACACAAACATCAGATCTTTAATTTAAAACAAACCAACTTTCTGCGGTAATTCAGATTGAATATTTTAGAAAGGAAGTCCTGACGGTGCTGAACAGCCAGATCTCACGTGTTACGGATGAACTTATGTTAAACAGTTAGGAATACTGTGTAGTAGGAAGCATCTGTTATTTTTTGGCCCATCAAAGGGAAGACTTACTCCTTCACACACCACTGACCACTAGCTATCCTTCAAAAGAAGCTGATGAAAGAACATTGATCCTGAATCCTATGAGAAAGTTAATCTTGGAAGAACTCTTGAAATTCTTTTCTTAGGTTAGTTATGAATCCAGTACCAGTGACAATACCAGCAGACTGTGCTTTTATTCACCAGCATAAAAACTGCGTATTGTGAGGAGGTGCTGGGAAAGGACATCACGAGAGGCTTCATTAAAAAAAGACAACCAAAACAAGACACAAACCTTGTCATAACCATCCAGTTCTCTGAGCTTCTTGATTTCAAAGAGGTTACCTTCTACTGCAAGCAGTGAGATCTGGGAATCGCTGAGGATACTTTGAGGAAGCATGCTGAGTTCTAGACAGTTTTCTTCTAAACGCAAGACCTTGAGGCGTGGACAGTGGGAGATCTGCACCGAGATCTGGGAAATCTGGTAGAAATTTAAAAAAACCCACCAAACACAAATAGAAAGGGGATTAAAATGTTAGTGAGCCACCAGTACTTAGTGATTTGTGCTTCAGACTAATACGAAACAATTATCATCCTGCAAATATAAACTACAATGACAGTAGCTACTTAACAACAGTGCATTTGCCACAATAATAATGGTCAAAAAATCCAAGTAATTTTTTTTCTACCATGATGACCAGTAACCTACACATATGTTTACCAGATTCCTACTCAAGAACTGTTCGAATAGTTTTTTGTATGATTACATTCAGGACTTGTTAATTAGTCAAATCAGGCAGTTGATGTGTCAGTACTCAAATTCTAGTTATGATTCCTCTTTTCCTCTGTGTCCAGGAGATATCTTAGCTATCAAGTTCTGAGAGTCTCAGCTTATGTTCCGTGGATGTACTAAGTCCCAGACAAACCACGCCCTAAATCTACACACCCGTAATACCTCAGTTACCAGACCTGATTCTGATTCAAATTGAGCTCAAGAGCCTGCAATTCTCCCACAGTGTCGGGTACGTTCTGGATCTGGTTTTTGGAAAGATCTACCACATCCAAGTGGCGAAGACCACAGAGCTGTGTAGGCACAGTCCGAAGCTGGTTTCCAGAAAGGCTCAGGGTTTTGAGAGCTGAAAGTTGTCCAAACGCGGCCGGTAGCTGCCTCAAGTGATTGCAGTTCAAGTGTAGTGTTTCCAGTTTTTTCAGTTTACACAGCTCCTCAGGTAAAGCAGCTAGAAATAAATGACAGAATAGAGATGAGCTAAACAAAAAGGTGTTAACATACATGCCCATTTCATTCAAATAAGCTTCTGCATGGATCACAGTAATTTCTCACAGGATTCCTCCTCATTTTTCCAATCAATGTACAAATCCTGCACAGAAACTTAAGCCCACTGGCAACACATGCTTTTTAACTATCTTCCATAAATATCTTAAAAATAATCTGCATACAAGACATACAAGTGCCTTCTTCAAAGGATGAAAACACTACTCCCGAGAGGATTTTAGCCCATCAGTTACACTCCTCACTAACCACATTGCCAACGTATTCCGTGACATTTGAAACACCGCACAATTCACAGCTTCGGGTCTGCTGCGGCCCTTTAAAGGTATTACCTCACTCAAACCGAAGTTCTCCAACAAATCATACCGTATCACACCAGCAGATAAGGCTCACCAGGTAAGCTCTGCTGGCGTTCACTCACCCCCCATTCTACCTACGTGCGTATACAACCTGCAGCGCTCTTGAGTTCCACTACAGAGTCAAAGAGGTTTGTAAATTACAGTTGTTTTTCAAAAAGACAGATAATGCACAACTGACAAAAAAATTAAGTCTTTTCACCTCATCCTAATTTTTCCACAAAGTTGGGCATTTGGCCAACAGAAATCGTGACAACCATTGAATGGCCAGCCACGTTTTCTACAGATTGTCTTCATTACCTGTTCTCTATGCAGGTACTAAACCATCTGACACTTACACCTTCCGATCAGGCAAGTCACAGCACAGAAATGTTTGATGGTTTTATGTACTTACGTGTCATTGTAACAACTAAGTTGGCAACTAGTTTTGCAGAATTTCTGGGTTTGTTTTTTTTTTTTCCCCTGTACCTGAATTCCAAAGGTTTCAGTTTACATGACTACACTCCCCATTTACCTCCTGTGAGAGTTAAATCATTAAATTTAGTTTCTGATCAGAGAAGTCAGGTTATTATTTCAAAAATCTGTGGAGACATTAACTAGCAGGCATACTCAGTTTGTTGTTGTTTAGAACAAGGCTCTTCAAAAAGGAAAATTTTCCTATGAGTGGTGGCAAGAGTTCTATTTTGTTGTTCGACAAGTCTATGGTCCTTAAGTTGCTTGTTAACTTCTGCAGATCTTCAGGAAACTATGGGAGAGAAAAAAGATACAGCATTTGAACAGTTGATACAACTCCGAATGTTCAAGTTACACAGCTTAAAATTATAACTGAAATTTGTATCGCTCTCACATACTGTCATATGTATCCCAATCACCCCAGTGTGCAGTGAAGTTGGCAAATTTGCTTAATATGTATTTTTAAAAGTATTTTTTCATCTGACAAAGGGAAAAGGGATGTAAAGGAGACACTAACATGTAGGAAGAGGAGTTTTTAAATCAAATAATTTAAATTAAAAAGGAAGAAGGAAGTACATGTCATGATTTAACCCCAGCTGGCAACTAAGCAGCACAAGCCACTCACTCACTACTCCTCCTGCCCCGGTGGGATGGGGAGGAGAAGCGGAAAAAAATGTAAAAACTCTTGGGTTGGGATAAAGACAGCTTAATAGAGCAGCAAGGGAAGAGAAAATTAATAATAATCATCATAATTATAACCATCATAATAGATTATACAAAACAAGTGATCACAACACAATTGCTCACCGCCAACCAACCGATGCCCAACCAGTTCCCAAGCTGCCATCGCTGCCCCCCAGCCAACTCCCCCTAGACTACATATTAAGCGTGACATCATATGGAATGGAATGTCTCCTTTGCCAGCCTGGGTTAGCTGTCCCAGCTGTGCTCCCTTCCAGCTTCCTGTGCACCTCCTCACTGGCTGGGTACAGGTCCCCCCAGCCCCCCTAGACTACATATTAAGCGTGACATCATATGGAATGGAATGTCTCCTTTGCCAGCCTGGGTTAGCTGTCCCAGCTGTGCTCCCTTCCAGCTTCCTGTGCACCTCCTCACTGGCTGGGTACAGGAAGCTGATAAGTCCTTGACAGTATAAGCAGGTCTTAGCAACCATCAAAACATACCAAAAAAATGTTGTCACATTATTCTCATGCTAAATCCAAAACCACAGCACTGTACCAGCTACTAGGAGGAAACTTAACCCTATCCCCGCTGACAGCAGGACAGTATGCCATGACACAAGCTTGTTTATGTTCTAGTCCTCTTGTGCATGTTACATGCGTGTCATTTAAAAATACAGCTGCTTAACAGCTGCATTTTAGCAGAGTAGGATAGGGAATTTTTTTCTCTTGCTTTCCTTTTTAAATATTAATGTAAACAATTTTCCTTGTTCTTACTTACATCCTGTACCACTCTCATCAGCACTTGTGACTGAGCTGAAAATAAGAAAAACCTGACAATCACCATCAGCGAGTCCTGTCAACAGAGCAGTGGTTTTGATGCTCTGTTGGTATGGCAGAGGAAAAGGGAAGAGAGAAGGTAGGAGAGTGGAAGAAGAAGAGTCTTCAAGGCCAGGCTGGATGTGGCTTTGAGCAACCTGGTCTAGTGCAAGGTGTCCCTGCCCATGGCAGGGGGGTTGGAACTAGATGGTCTTTAAGGTCCCTTCCAACCCAAACCATTCTATGATTCTATGATTCTAAGATACTTCAGAAAAGTCAGTCTATTACTGCAATATACAGTGATTTTGGCTATCCTGTGACTTGTTACTCAGCTTACAGTTCCAAGAGATTCTGTGTTTTTCTGCAGTTGAGACAAAGTCAAGACAATTTCCGATACATTTCAACATGCTTGCAGCGCAGTCAACAGCCTGTACAGACTAGTCGTATGACTACAACTAAATATAGCAGAAGTATATAAACGAGACAAATTGTGAAGTATCTTTCTAGGTTACAATACCGTTGTAAAATTTACATTTTTCCCTCAAGTTTACAGCCCTTTTTTAAACAGCACATCATGATAACTACTAATTCTTGAACATAAGGGATTCTAAATCATAGAATCATAGAATGGTTTGGGTGGGCATGGACCTTACAGACCATCTAGTCCCAACCCCCCTGCCATGGGCAGGGACACCTTCCACTAGACCAGGTTGCTCCAAGCCTCATCCAGCCTGGCCTTGAACACTGCCAGGGATGGGGCATCCACAGCTTCTCTGGGCAACCTGTCCCAGTGCTCCCCACCCTCTCCGTGAAGAACTTCTTCCTGATATCTAATCTAACCCTCCCTGCTTTCAATTTAAACCCGTTACCCCTTGTCCTGTCACTACAGACCCTTGTAAAAAGTCCCCCCCAGCTTCCTTGTAGGCCCTTATGTAGCATAAGCTCATGAGCATACAAGTGCCCTGACAGATAAATCCTCAATCAGATGACAGCGCAAGCAAAAATCTGCTTTGCAAAAAGGAAAAAAAAAAATTGAAATGATATTGTCCGTTACTATTTATGAGAAATACACGTACGCAGGGCATTATCACAATGAGGCGGGAATGTCTCTCAAAAAATGTCAGTTGTGGACGTAAACAGCCACATTTCCCCTGTAGTTACATTACCTCTGTAAGTCCCTTTCCCGTCAGCTGAAACACGCCGGTTTTCTGCGCTGTCTCCAGGTGGGCTTTCAATGCGCTATTTCCCATCCTAACAGTCCTCCGTCGAGTGCAGAGTTGGAGCGACAGTCTCAGCCAGCTTCTCTCCGTTGTTCTGCGCCAGGCAGCTGCAATCCCCGGTCTCTGTGAGAAAGCAAAGGCACCGTCACTGCGTGCGTCGCCTTCAACACCACACGCATTTCAGGATCCTGAACTGCTGCGTTTTCATATCCCTCGTAACTAAAACCTAGAGCCTAAAACACAGACCTAGCTTAAGGTGCCTTCATTACAGCAGTTTGAATGCCGAAGTGATGCAACAGATATAGTTAAAAATAAGAGGGGGAAAAAGGGCTATTTTCCACGTTTCACCTCTGTCAGGGCTCAGTAGCCTAAGGAGATTCTCTGTGGAGGCTGGCTGTGATTTTGGTGGCATCTACCAGCGATGACCCGCTGTCTGTACCACAGCATTATTAGTTTTTTTAGAAACATTTGTGTCATTTAGCTACTCGGGTCCTTTGCTGTGACCCTAGATGGAGCCACACGACATCCATCTCCAGCGGGGTTTAATCCCCACGACGCCGGGTTTCAGGCCGAAGGATTAGGGTCAGGCTTGCAGCCCGGAGGAGAGGGATAAAGCACGGTACAGCACGTAAGCAGCCGGGACCAGGAACTCAAGAGGCGACTGGAAGCGGGTCAGCAGGACCTTCGGCACGGGGCAGAGCCCCCCATGACCCGCTGCAGGCCCCG